CAGTATGCCCTGCGGGTTCAACAACCATCGGGACAGTTGTCTCGATGGTTGGAGGTTCTCCAGGATTTTGATTTTGAGACCACTTACCGTAAGGGCGTTCGCCATACCAACGCGGACGCTCTGTCACGCATGCCAACCACCTCGGAATGTGCATGCCTCCTGGGGTCGGGACGTTGCAGACCTTCAGGGGACGCATCGGTTCCGATCCTGGCAGCCACCGACGACGACGAACCACTGCCTGATAATTCGATCAAACAACAGGGAAGGGATTCCCTGTTGGGGTTGCCCGTCACTGAGTGGGGGCGCCTCCAAATGGAGGATACCTCCCTCCTCGGGTGGCGTCGTCGCGTCGGGGGTGCTGGCCGGGTGAAAGGTGATTCGGGTGCATGGGAAATGGTACAGGGTCTGCTCATGCATTGGGACGCAAAATTACAGCGACATCGGCTGGTCGTCCCTTCGGAGTTGCGAGGCAAAGTGGTGTGGGCCGCGCATGAGCGCCTGTTACATCTGGGGACTCTAAAGACCCTTGCACTGATACAACTAGATTTTTTTTGGCCTGGTATGACAAAGGATGTTGGGGATCTTTTGAATTCATGCCCGCGGTGTGCGCAACGGAAACCGCCGGCACGGGAGTCTAACCCGCCTTTACAATCAATCAAGGTGTCCAGAATAAATGAGCTTGTCGCGCTGGACATCTTGGGCCCATTTCCCGCCACCCCCAGGGGCAATAGGTATTTGCTGACAGGAGTCGAGTATTTTACGCGCTGGCCCATGGCCTGGCCCCTTGCCAACCAGTCGGCAGCAGCCATTGTGGACGCCTTTGTTCAGGGATACGTCCTGGACAAAGGTGCTCCGGAACGGCTGCTGACCGACCAGGGTAAAAATTTTTCAAGCAAATTACTTAAACAAGTTTGTGACCTCTTAGGCACAAAGAAAATTCGGACCTCCCCGTATCACCCACAGACAGACGGAATGGTCGAGCGCCTGCATCGCACCATTTCGTCAATGATGGCACAGCAGGTCTCAGATTCTCAGACTGATTGGGACCTGCATATTCAGGGGGTCTTGGCGGCATACCGGATGGCACCCCATGCAGCTACGGGATTTTCCCCCTTTTACCTTATGTACGGTCGCGAACCCGACCCGCCTGTTCGCGCCCAGCTGCAGATCCCCGACCCGCAAGGAAAAACTAAATTGGCTGACCACGTCAAATTTAATCTGGCTAAATTAACAGAGGCGCGGGATGCTGCGAGGTTGAACTCGGACCTCCGTCAAAAGGCGAACGAGCGCCTCAGGCTGGGTCGGGCGCATGTAATACAGTGGAAACCGGGGGACAGGGCATGGTTGCACTGTCCCCAAGTACCCCTGGCCACCTCCCCTAAGCTGGCGCGGCCGTGGCGGGGCCCCGTGGAAGTGGTCGAGGTCTTGCGACCACAGTGCGTGCGCATTCGTTGGGGGAAGCGGCGATGGTTCGTGCACCCCTCTCGGTTGAAACCTTTCGTCGCGGTACACAAACCCACTTCACACATGCGTGGCCAGACGTGTGGGGGGTCGACCGACTCACTAGCTCCGTCTCCACCGTGCTCACCTAATGCCTTGCCGGCCGTGCCACCTCCAGGTGCATCGGGACTGACGAGCCCGCACCCACCTGCTGCTGCAAGGGACGCCGAGGTTCCCGCGACGTCAGACGCGGACTCTATACAAAACGAACAACCGCCACCGGCGGGTTCGCCACCCGGGATTGCCCCGTGTGACGGGCCTGCAGCAAGGACACGCGCAAAAATGCGCAGACTCTTATAATGCATTGGACGAACATTTTTTTCTTCTTCTCTCTTACGTACGGTTGCGTGGTGCTGCGTCGGTGGGGAGCTCCTAACACATTTTTTTTGTGTTGTGTTGCATGTGTGCTGCGAGTTCCCTGCTTAACCTGTATATATGCGTCGCTCTTACGGTATTCGTATTTATTCAGGGGGGGTGCGTCGGATTGTTCCCTTCGGGGTTGTGGGTTTTGTTGTTGTCGTTGTTGTTGTCGTTGTTGCTGTTGGTTCCTTCATGTTAGCGTTAAAAACGTTTTTTTAAGGCACACGCGGGTATCCAGGGGTTAAATAGCCTTTATTAAAGTTGTTGCAGCCGGGACGGCTGCGAGCTGTACAGGGGGGGGTGATGTAGGGCTGTTACAGAGGGGCTGTTTGTGTAGGGCTGTTTGCATAGGGGCTAACGGATAACAAACACAGTGGGCGGGGACTCCGTGAGCACACGGGGTGGTGCCCGCAACGACGTCCGTACTGGACGGCGTGAGGGGGGTTTCGATCCTCTAGGGGGGTATAAAAAGGGTTGAGCCAGAGAGCTCGGGGCTCAGTCTTAGTGTAGTTAAGGGAAGAGAGAAGACCGGCCAGATAGGCCCTGGACTCCCCCTGGGACGCCGCCCTTGTAAGGGCAGTACAGGCTGGAGCCAGTGGCGTGGTCCCGGAACCAGAGTCAGACCTCTGGGATTCCGGGTACCGTAGCCCGACTGACCAGTGTCGGGCCAGACAGCCTCCCCTAGCCCGTTAGCGGAGGACTCGGCTAGGAAGGCTAGCTAGGGGTGAATTCCCAGTTGTACGGGTGAGGGGGCCGATACATCCCTCCAGTATTGTAAGACATTGTGCAAATAAATACGTGTGCCTTACCCCGTTGTCCACGCGTCTTCAAGAACACTTCACACGTAAGCAGCATACTTAGAAAATGTGAAGAATGATTGGGTGGCAATGTGGCGCAGTGGTAACACTGTGTTCTAACCCTGACTTGGAAGTCTTTATGTGTGGAGTGTGTACGTTCTCCCCCCGTTATGTATGGGTTTCCCACGTGGTCTCTGGTTCCCTCCCATAGCTCAAATATACAGTACAATGAAATTGCTCTTGGCCAAACACCCCAAAATCGCAGGACCCTCCTGTATGATTATAACGATATACTCTTAGTTCTTTCGGTAAAGTCACGTAGGTAAAAAATGAAATTAAAATTAATAAAAATAAAAATCACGACGTTTCGGAGACTTGTGTTGCCTCCGAAACGTCGTGATTTTTATTTTTATTTTATTTTTTATTAATTTTAATTTCATTTTTTACCTACGTGACTTTACCGAAAGAACTAAGAGTATGAATCCTTGCAGTCACGAAAGCTTCAAATCTAGAATGATTATAACTTTCATGACCGACAGATGCGGTGTGAGAGGCTTTCATCCAGCAGTGAAGAGACTAGGGGCTGTACAAAAATAGTAGGTCATGATGAGGCACATCAGGTTTATTACTGGTGAAAGTTTCAAACTGCACCTAAATTTGTCTTTTTTTTCACCAAATATAACATTGCGTAATTTGCAATGGTGTTTGCTTCATAAACAACTTACTGGTTATATTGTTTTTACAACTTCTCAATACAAATAGTGGTGTTGTACCAGCTGCTGCTTAAATGAAACCACATTTTTTACTATTTACTGCAGTTTGTGAACGGTTTATGTCATAGGCCTGGATCACCAAAGCACCCGAAATGTGCCCAATTTCTTCAGGTCTCGGAAAGCTAAGACGGTTTAAGCCTGGATAGTGATTTAACGAATTATTCTGCTATGCTGGTGCGTTGGCAGTGGTACACAGAGCATAATTAACAAATAAAATGACACACATTCGTCAATAACACTGCCTTCAGGGAGAACAAATATATGTAAGAGGGGACGTGGACCTTCATAGAATGGGGATAGGTGACCGCCACCCATTTCACAAGTGTTGTCGGCTGCTGTGGAGCGACGTGGTGCAAATAAAAACAGCCATTGTATTCTACCTATATTCTCGAATGTCTTTGCCTCCCCGCGTTCACCAACGTGCACTGACTCGCGTGGTGAGGTATGGTCAAGTAACTGTCCACGATTCTCATGGCGTGGAGGCCCTCGTTCAGCAAGTGGAATGACATTAAGTGCTGCACGTGTGACAAGGTAAAGCTGCAGCCCTGCAATTGCTTGCTCACACCACCGCTGATGGAAGGACCTCTTACGAGAGGGAGCTTTCGAGAGCCACTCTGGAGATTGTTTAGAACTATTCCTCTGCACTGGCCACACGTTTCGGAAGAGCTGAAAGCACCCACACTTTACCCCACCGCACGCGACTTGCCTACGTATTTGACTAAGTGCGGTGTGCTTCGTGTTCCCGTTTACTGTACTGCCGCTCAGTTGGAAGAGACCGCAGAGGCGGAGGAATTTAAGAAACATTTCCAATGTTATGGAACTGGCTGTATACACATGCGTATGATGTGATATGGGGGCTATGATTTGCATATGATACGTCCGGTGGAGGGTGGAGCAGATGGCAAGGTGCCTCCTCTTCCTGAAGGCGCTGAGAGCCACAGGTGAGTGTGTGGGTGAATGCGTGGGTAAGTGAGTGGGTGGCTGAGTGACACAGGTGAGTGGCTGAGTGAGAGCCACAGGTGAGTGAGTGGGTGAGTGAGAGCCACATGTGACTGCGTGGGTGAGTGAGAGCCCCAGGTGAATGCGTGGGTGAGTGAGAGCCACAGGTGTTCGTGGGTGAGTGAGAGCCACAGGTGAGTGGGTGGGTGAGTGAGAGCCACAGGTGAGTGGGTGGCTGAGTGAGAGCCACAGGTGAGTGAGTGGGTGAGTGAAAGCCCCAGGTGAATGCGTGGGTGAGTGAGAGACACAGGTGAATGCGTGGGTGAGTGAGAGACACAGGTGAGTGGGTGGGTGAGTGAGAGACACAGGTGAGTGGGTGGGTGAGTGAGAGACACAGGTGAGTGGGTGAGTGAGGGCCACGTGTGACTGTGTGGGTGAGGAAGAGCCACAGGTGAGTGGGTGAGTGAGGGCCACGTGTGACTGCGTGGGTGAGGAAGAGCCACAGGTGAGTGGCTAAGTGAGAGCCACAGGTGAGTGGCTGAGTGAGAGCCACGTGTGACTGCGTGGGTGAGTGAGGGCCCCAGGTGAGTTGGTGGGTGAGTGGCCGGCTGAGAGCCACAGGTGAGTGGGTGGGAGGGGTTCAGTGGCAGCGAGGGAGTGCCGCTTGCGTCATCCTCGCCAAACAAAAGAGCAGCTCGCTCAGCGCATTGTTCATTCCTACCGACTGACACGTGGTAGTTGTGCGTCTACCCCAATGCTCTGTCTCCGACACGGCGATATCTCTGTGTAGGGGGACTGTGAAATCACCCTTTTCCCATCATATTGCGTTCGTGTGTATATTTATACGGGCGCGCGTATGTGGTCTTCAAATTTGGCCGAAGTGTTGTAAGTTATTGTGGATAACTTGGCTTTTGCTTCTCGCTTAGACAGGTGGATGCTACACGCCGTTAGTGCGGATTGTAATTATTTTAGTGCGGTATATCGCGCAAGGGTTATAGAGATAGGCATTAATTAACCGAACGTTACCTATACATCAAGAATACTTAACGACATTGTGGACCTCAAAGCGTCTGTATTTGAACAGGTAAGCTCGTGATTGCAATGAGTGATGTATTGACTAATGGCGAGGCTTAACCACATTGCCGTACGTGTGCTGGTAAATGCAGACATGTTTGACGACAGCGCATCTGAACGTTGCCATTTACAAAATGTAAGAAGATCAACGTACCGACTACATAGAATACGATGCGATCTGCCTGCCTGCCTTCGAGTCAATTAGCCGAACAAGCAATGCTCATTGCTTCGGGGGTACAATTTCTATTTACAGTATTACTGTTTTCGCTTACACGGTTAACCGCAACAAACTTCATATGCTGGCATACAGCAAGGAGGAGACATTCACGAAACATATTTAAGCAATCGTACTAATGCCATTTGAAACGCCGTCGTGTGTGAACGGTGTAGACCGCCGGGTCTGCTTGCGATGCTATTGTTGAGTTGCGTTTGTTGTCGGCGGCCCTAAACTCCATAATTCCTTACCTAACATTGCTCATCTTGCAACGTCCATTGTAAGTATTCATCTACAGCGCTAGTTACAGCCCTTTTGTCAATCCACTGCCGGATGAGAGACTCAGCACGCCGTGCTTCTCGGTAGATGTCAATTGACCATACTTCACCAGGCTGGTCAATGCGGGTTAGTGTATGGTGGGGGGAGCATAGACGTTGGTGAATAGTACAGGACAACATATGTTTATACGGTAATTCGTTGGCACACATTTGTTGATGACTACAACGGGACATCAGCACGGCTCGATACAATGTAGGAGACACACCTAGGCTGTTCGTCAAACAGTGTTGGCCACAAAGAGCCTAATTGTTTAATTGACGGCAGTGGTTGAGATATAAGGACAGGGTATTGAGAGCCACAGGTCCAAGTGAGGACAAGATTGGATATAATAACTTAATTTAAATACTGTAGAGTATCATCGTTTTCACTGAAAAGGTCGCACGTGTTTTGAGAGGTGGTGTTACAGCAGAATTGAATGAATAAGCTACAGTGGTATGATATGAATTGAGATGTTGACAGAATGGCTACAATCAATAGTGCGACTGATGAGTCCGTTGAGAAGGAATGTGTCGTGCAGGAGATATCCCAAGGGCTCGGCTGGAGATACGACGACGATGATTCTTAAACGGAAAATGAGGGGGGGGAGGGGAAGAGGAGGACGAACATTTATTATTTTGAATCGGGCTCTCCATGAGAGATGATGTGGATGACAAAAGATGGAAATAAGTTGAATGAACATCATCTTTAAGTTACGAGGATGACACGAGTCACGCAGTAGATTTCCAACAAATAGCGTACACACACACACCTTCACGCACATATTCATCATTCAAGAACTGACCATTGTCGTATGTTCGCAGGCTTCAGGACGCATCCCGGCCACTCCGTCTGGCCGGCCCGACCATCATGCAGCCACCAATAACCGGGGCCCTGCGTCGTACGGCAAGCACGAGCGCCGGTGTCCGAAACCGAGAGGGCGGCGCGGGCAACAACATCAGGAGGTCGGGTCCCAGCCGCTTCGGAAGCAGCGTGATGATGGCGCATGGACGAGGCTCGTCTGGGTCTGGTGTGGATGGATCGGTGGTGACCCGCAAGGTCATGCTCGTGGGTGATGTGTCCTGTGGGAAGACGGCCCTCCTTGGAGCGTTGGCAGGAGACCCTTTCAGACAGGTGAGAGGCAGTGACCCGTGTTTGTATGAGTAGCTGCGGGCATAAATGGCTTTTTTGCCGGGAAATAAACGGGAGTCTCTGGAACTACGGCCACCGAATGTTTGTATTCAATCATTTTACAAGCCTTTCATCAAAATCATTGACCTTGCTTGGGTTTTTATTGAAGCAAGCTTTTGAGAGCCGCTACGTTGGTTTCAATGTCGGGGCCAGGAGGTTCGGATTTGGGGTTGGGGACATTTATACTTATGGCTGATTTTCTCTCGCCGCATCGTGGGGGGATAGTGCAGTCATCGCAACCTCGATACAATTAATGACTGGGAGATCGTTGTATGGATAACCTTTACTTTATCTGGTGGAAAGTCCATTGGGGTTTCCGTTTACAAAATTAACAGTTATTGGTGTCCTTGACAATACCCAATGACATTTTTATTAATAAATATATTGTTGGATACTTTAACATGGATTCATATATGATCTTGTTATTGAGTGACTTACATTATAATAATGTTCTAGAAAATAACAAGAAGAGCGATTTTTTCGAATTCTGTTAAAAACTCAATATTTCATATATGATCTTGTTATTGAGTGACGTACATTATAATAATGTTCTAGAAAATAACAAGAACAGCCATTTTTTTCGAATTCTGTTAAAAACTCAATATTTCAAGAGCCGCAAAGCACGTGAATACGAGACGGGGTGGTCCTTATAAATATTAGCAGTCCTTAAAGAGCCGCATGCGGCTCCAGAGCCGCGGGCTGCCGACCCCTGCTCTCGAAGGACCATAAATAATACATTTGGCACAATGATTGTGTCGTCTACGCTTTTAATTTAAAAAAATGGCAAAACTCAATGATTCAAAAATTGTGCCTCTTCAAAAAATGTGTTACTCAAAAGGGATCAGTTGTAAATTCACCTGCCATGGCATGTGGGGCACATCTTGCTACTGCTTCCCACCTACACTCGTCCTGGTATTAGGTGTATTACACGTGAGAGTAATTGTTCCCCCTTTCACATACATGGATTACATTGAAAACGAGTTATGTGATTGTTTGATTGATACTTTAATATACACTATAAACGCATGTTTATACTGTATGTATATACTCATGCAGTTCCTGATATTGTATTGCCGTGCAGTATATTGTGTACTGTATTTTATATGCAGTACATACAATGTAACACGACATGTTACGTATGGCAACATAATAAGTGAGCAAGAATCTGCTCTGGGCTGTTTGCTCTAAAATTCCAGGGTGTGACGGAGCAAAAAAAATACTTTTTATTTGGCAATCTACATTTTTCCAATGACATAAACGCTCCTGTAGCTTTGCATACATGCATGAAATGGTATATAAAGCTTAAATAAACATAGACTAGGTCACGGGATAAATTACATTAACAGTGTGGTTGAGCAGTGGCAAAGAGGTTCGCACACTGCTAACCAGAGAACCCGATGACCCGCCTTCATTCATGCTTGTGCCATTAGTGAGAGTGATAATTGAACTGGTCCTTGGTCCTCTTTCATCACCAGTGTGATGCGGTTTGATCGATAACAGCGTGGGAAGGCCTTGATTCAGCAGTGGATCAGCAAAGGGCTCTACAATAATTACTTGTACGGTAATAAATTGGACCACCAGGTAACAACATACTATGCCATGCCTTGAGCAATGTGTTCATAAGAGCATCCGCCTATCTCGTGTAACCCTGCTCATTGTTTACCCAATGGGCAGCAGCTGAGATCAGCAATTGCAATGGCCTGGCCCATGTGCCTTGTTTTGTTTAAATAAACATTGACCTCACAACCCAGAGGTCAGCATAACGTGGCGGCAGTAATATGACTTTACAACGAATTGAATATACCACAGTGCTAATGTGCAATAGTGTATGTCCAGAAACTACTAGAAAAACATCTTGCCAAGTTAAGCCAACATTATTGCACTCTACTGCAGCGGCAGGCCCATCAATCCATAACTGCATAATCATTGTATTTTATGCCTGATGTGTTGGCATATGCGGTACAGTAGTTAATAACTTCTTCGTTAAGACACCAAGACTCAAATTACGTTTCCAAAGTTTAAGCCCACGACTTGTTTCTGTAAAAGCAAATATGTACCATACTCCTGATTATAAATAAGACTGTACAGTAAGACTGACCCCGAAATTGTGCCTGGTGTTTAATAACGTTGTATAAATATGGTCATATATGTACTGTACAGTATATACACACACCCACTGGATTACAACACAACTTTTGCATGAAACTATTGTGGGGGGGAATAAAGTGCATCATGCCATCCGGATAGAACAGGAGCAAGTATCCTGTTCACCATGATGTTACCTTATTTGTAATCCAAGTGCATTTCGATAAACTATATATTACTGTATCTCATTGGGTCATTTTACCACTGTATTTCAAAAGACAGCCTGATGCACATTACATGCAATTCTATTTTTAGTAAATTGTTATACTGTGTATAATATCCAAAACAGCATCTTTAAAAATGCAGTACAATATCGTTGCTGTTATGGATTATGGTCATGATTTAATTGACCTCTACCACCCATAATGCAATGTGCCAGAAACACTATAATTTTACAATGAATGCACAGTTTATTTCATGCTATAATTTTAATACGTAAGTGATATGCTTATAGTAGCTGCTAATAAGTAACTACAGTATTCATATGCCATTTTAAAAACTGTCCATCAGCAAAAAAATTTCAATGCGATAGTCTCCAACTCTTATCCACTCATCTCTTTGACCTCTAAATTTATGTGCCATGAAAAAAGAGTCATTGCCCAAAAAGTTGCCTGTTACAGTATCTGAAAGTATTTTCATTTTAAGGCTGCGTTCTTGATGAATGGGTGAGTTGATTTATTATTTGTGCTTGGGGCACCACTGTTAACAAAATATCACGAAATAATTTTCTTAGGAATGAAATTACACAGCAGTGCAATAGTTCACTCCGTTGTCTCTGTACAATCTTTAGATTTACAGTCGTGTATACAACATCTGATTTTTACTTGCAGTATTTCGTTAAAATATGCCAATTATGACAACTTAGGTACAAGATTTTTGCCCCTTATCTATGGCATTTGTATGGGCTGCGAAAACTCCTATTATTCTCGGTTAATAATACAAATTCCTAATAATAAAAAAAATTTCCAAGTATAACAGGAATCGCATGGAAAATTAATCCTATTCACACATTTACCCTGTGGATAAGAGTAAAATTGTAGATTACATCGTGGCTATTGGTCTCCCATATCGCCACGTGTAAGAGCAGTGGCGATATGGGAGACCGTGGTGGCTAGATGTTAACTTTCTCGCCTGGTATACAGGAGGTCGTGAGTTAAATCCTGACCCTGACGCCTGCTGCTGTATATTGGAGTTTGCATGTTCTCCCCGCAGTCGCGTACATTTTTTTCCGGGTCCTCCAATTTCTCCCTCCACATTTAAAATCAACATGCATTTCGGGTATTTGGTTGCTATAAATTGCCACATGATAAGCCACTTAGTTAAGCAATAATTTGTTTTCAGGTCGCTTCTGAAAAATAGATGTATAGCTTGGTGAGCCTAGCCTGGTAAAGTTAAACATACTTTAATTCAATAGTTTAGTTCTGGACAGTAATAATATATATAAAGCGTTGAATAAGCGACTGACAGGTAAGTTTAATTAGTGGGTAGGTTTGTCAGTTAATTACATTATTTATTCCTTTACCTACGTGACTTTACCGAAAAAACCCTAAGAGTATGAATCCTTGCAGTCACGAAAGCTTCAAATCTAGAATTACATTATTTATTGTACAATGCAAACATGCTGAGTGATGCACTATTACTTCCATGCAGCTATCTTCTTAGTTAGATAAAATGTTACAGTAGTTAAACAACATTTGTTTGCTGTTGACCTAACATGTGGTCAAAAACTCCCCACAGCCTTTCATGGGTTTTGAGATTATTTTAAATCAAGTAAATGTCACACTAACCTTAAGCAAACAGCGCATCATCTACATGTGTGATGAGCACGGTTGGATACGTATGGCGGTGCGAAATAAGTTCAACATATATATTTGAGTGTACTCGTTGGGTCAGTAGAACATGTCAAAAAAAACACTGCCTTCTTTGCTATATGAACAGAAAATCAACACGTGTCAATAACTCTGCCTTAAAATAAAAAGGGGACCTTTTAGACAACGGTCCTTAATAGCACATGTTTATGTGCTATTTACATATTTTGTTCTTTAATGGCCACAGTGTTATTGATGAATGTGAGTTTTTTTTAATATATATAAGTTGTGCTTGTTCACCACTGTCAACAACGGGCAGCATCTGCAAATACTGTGCTTGCTCTGTTGACGAGTAATGATTTCACATGAAAGGCTTGCCAAGTCTCATGCAGCGGGTGACCTTTGCTACACCGAGGAAAAAGGAAGGACACATACTTTCGGCACTGTGTTGAAGCGTCCTTTCCATGTGGCGGCACTGCATGCGTTCTGTGCTCCACATTTCACTGCGTAAATAAGTGATACATTTATTCAACACAAATGCCGAAATGAAAAGCCACTCGTGTATGTGCAGATCCACAGTGGATGTTAAGGCCACAGCCCGCAGCATTGTCCCCAAGAACAAATACAGCTGACTCGCTGCTGCATTCTTGTAACGGTTTTATTATTATTAAATAATGTATGATTCACTCAGTGCAATGTTGCTGTCTCTACCCCTCCCCTGGTTGTTGCTCACCACACAAACTGCCCCCCCACACCCAACACACCACCTGCCACAGGGATATGTGCCCAGCGTGTTTGACAGCCGCTCGGTGACCCTGAATGGAACGGACGGCCGGAGCGCAGACATCTTGGTGTTGGACAACTCAGGTGTGTATGGGGGTGGCAGCTGATATTGTGGGTTTAGCCAGAGCCAAAGCTCTTAAGTGGTGTTCACTCAGCATGAGGCTCGTGCGTGTGTGAGGGGGGGTTTCATGGCCCCACACCGACTCACATTTCTATGATGGGGAAATTGTTATTGAAAAGAAAATGCAACCAAAAGAGCTGTTGGCAATTGGAGATGACCTACACATGTCACCCTTGCAAAAGAGGCAATGTTTCCTTTGCTTCAATCGGTGTATTTTGTCTCCTGCTTAAATGAAGGATACTCACTGGGTTGTTGGATACAAGTTTGAAGCTTTATCCATGAGAAAATCTCCACTCAGACATCACAGCATAGCGCACCAGTAACACCATTTGCATTGACTTTTCAAAGGTATGGAAGAGATGTTCCAGTGATGTTACTATAGAGTCGTGTTTCTCAATTCCTAGATTTATTGGTGCATTCCTTTGATCCATTGATTGTTAGGAAATAGTTTGTGGATCAAACAGATTCCTGACACCACCGATGTAGCTGAGCTGAAATGTGTCCAGGAGATGAGAGAATAGAAAATACTTTCTTGACATCCATATTCGTGGAGTTTTGAGTGTTAACTCGTATAATGCTGCATGGGTGTTCTCTGGGTACCCTACTCAATTTTTGTCCAACACTTTACTCGTGAAATTGGCTGAGGATCCCAATGCAGGAACCTCCTAAAAAAGTATTGAGACGCATTAAGGCTTACCTGGATAAAGAAAGGACAATTATTGTGATTAACGAAGCTTCAAGCTTTGTGTTGAACAGCCTGAGAAATACAAATCGGGGTGCTTGTCTAAGGACAGGTGTTGTTCGTTTATTGAGTTGCACTTTCTTAAAGCGTAAAGAATGTTCCAGTTTCCCTTGTGGCTGCTGTGAGTGTAACACCCTCACCCCAGCTGTCATCCTTTTAATGTTCTCACGTGCAGAGACTGGCCAAACTATTGTGTGGTGGATGGCTTCCAACTTGAGGGCTCGGTGTAAGTGTGTACTTGGCATATTGTATAACAAAGTGGTAATGAGTAAAGTGTATTTGTACACATTATGTGTAGCACTCCTGTATTGGGTATTAAGTACATTTCTTTAGTATTGTCATGATGGTATGGCACTCGTGTGGAGTGCAGTCTTGGAAGGAAATACAATATAGAATTCATATTTAGTGCAGTATAGTATTGTCCACAAACCATGTGTGGAATGTAAATTTAAGTTCCTATCAACCAATATTTTGCTGTCACTTTTAAAATGTATTTAAAATCAGGGACACATGTTGGTAAGGATTTGCATTTTACATAGCACATATGTGCTAAAGTATCACTAAACACTTAATTGACTGAAACATCAATTATTTATCCAGGACGGCCTTACTTTCAGGATTCTTTCAAATAGCATACTGCAGTGGGATATGAGGCCGATTTGTATATATCATTAAGGAAAGCTTTGCCATTAGAAAAAAAACTCGAGTGTCCACAAAGAAAACCCACACACACACACGTACAGGGGATAACACTCAAATATCAACACAGATAGGTTAAATAATCCACTTGCTATACTGCCTATCCTGGCCGTTTTGTAGCTCGGCATGTTTTGCGAATTACACAACGCTGTTTGATCCACCAACCCTTGCCATTAAAGTTTTGGATTATAGGTGTGCCCCTGCCATAACTCAAAACACCGAGAATGTGCCCAGACCAGTCCCAGAGCAGTCGCCAAGACTAGGCATTCCTGTAGGGACGTTTTTTGTGGTTGTTGCTAATTCTAATATCCATTAGGTATACCGTGCAGTTCACCGATCTCTCTCATACTATTAAGACGGCGCTTTGATGCGCTAATATCTTGATAGGATACAAACTGCAGGAGTGGCTTAGAATGGCTACAAACGTGTGGCAGATGAATAGCCTCATAATGCAAAGGGGTGAAACGTGAGAGTCTTGAATTTCACCTACAGTGACCTCAAAAGGCGATGTGTACCCACTGTACTGTTATTATGTGTGGTACATACTGTACATATGCACACTGAGACACGTGTATTACTTACAAATGAGCTTGCATGCATCTCAGCAGTGTTGGCATATCCAGTTCTGCACATGTGTAATTTGATATAAGTAATGTACTGACGTATGTTAAAGGATGATTCATATTAAAGGTTGATGATGATAGCACCGATGATGCAATGCCTGTTGCCAATTTGTGCCTTGCGTATTGGGGTCGTGACTATGGTGGCTGGAAATGTGGGAACTTTTGTAACATTTATATGTTCTTGAAAAATAATGACGAGTCAGTCCCGGTGTGGTAATGTCTGGCCCCGACAGGTATTTTTTTATAAGGACAGGTCATAGAGTGTTTTAAAGGTTTACTCTGAGGAATAATTGTAATTTGTTGAGTTTTACACGAACATACATGTTTAAAAAATAATATTTAAATATACCACCTTTAATGTTTTGGTACTTTTAACAGGGTGTCTTGTGGCTATACTTGGTAAAAAATAACCATAGGAGGCCTGTATGAACCCACGAACCACAGGTTGAGAATCAGTGGTATGCCTGCATGCTATATATAGTATGTGTGCATACTATATACATACTATGTAGTATGTACTGACGTTGTATAGTACAGTATGCATATATACTGTTATAGCAGTGGTTCCCAACCTCTGGTCCATAGACTAATTGTTGTCAGCAAGGCCATGGGAAGTGGTCCGCAGAACTGTTCAGATATTATGACTTAAGTAGTTTAAAAACATATATTCATGCATGGTGGTCTACTAAACAATTGTTTTGAGGGTCAACAGTGATCCGCGGGTTGATCAAGATTGGGGACTACAACTATACACTGTATGTAGTATTATATATGTATAAAGTGGTATACACTTTATACTTTACAACGATAATTATATTTATCCAGGTAAACTTTTCCGTGGCTCAATACTGTTTGAGGATGGCCCTGAATTTATGTTTGGCCATTTCCTTTTTAAGGTGTGGTTTGGGGCTCACTGGTGGTGAGATGTTATTGCCCTTGCTTGGTATGCAGGAGGTCGTAAGTCCAATCCGCCCCTGACGCCTGGTATATGTTCTCCCTTCTTGTGACCACGTGGATTTGTCTCTGGGTCTTCCGATTTCGTCCTCCAGTCTTATAAACATGCCTTTAGATTATTTGTCTACCATACACTCCCACATATATGATGATATAAGCGACTTCGATGAACTATCACATGTGGCCAGGTCGACTGGTAAATTCAAGTTTATATACTGTATGTAGTTTGCATGTTGAGAGAACTGGAGTCGTACACGAAGATAACACTCAAAACTATATTTAAGAGCCAAGGAGGGTTCGTGAGCCCACTCGTCGCCTGGCCACGACTCAGGCCAGTGAGTTCAGGGGTTCTGTGTGATCTAATAAACCAATGCCTTAAAACCACCGAGTTAGAGGCGTTGCACCACCATGCCTGGTGATGTATTTGTTTTTGCTGTACACTTTTTGCATTTCAACGGCCATTTTGACTCTTCACTGCATGTTCTACATAAGAACAATGTACATTACACGCACTTTTATGTGCGCACTATACTATAATGCATTATGGTGCACACTTAGATTAAATCCATATTCTATTGGTACATAGGAAAATATTCGTGTAAGGGATACAGCAGTGAAGGCAGTCACCCGAGTTTTGATTCCTGGCCATGGTTAAAATAAGTGCCAAATAGTATCTGAACTGGTCCTGAGCAGCCCTCTTCACCATCCTCTTGTGATCGGCATGATGCAGTCGCTCATAGTTGCTATGGCATCCGCTCGGCTTTATTCAGAGGTAGATTGACAAAGGGCTGTACATTGTATTATTATTTGTATTAGCATGCTTGTCGGTGATGGTGTTTACGGAACACGCGTACATGTGTACCATTGCGTATTTCCGCGTCGTTGTTACAGAAACAAAATGTTACATGTTATCACAGCACCACTCTTCTATATACCGATCACAGCGTTGAAAGAGAAACTATGTAGTTGCCCTGTGAGCTGACCCTATGCTCACTCCTGTAGGTTCCTCACACTACGACACCGTGCGACCACTCTCGTACCAGCACGCTTCCGCCGTGCTGCTGTGCTTCGACATCAGCCGCCCAGAGACGCTTCACAGCATCCACGTAAAGGTGCGAGATCATGCATCCCGTGTTGTCCGAGTGCATGTGCCCGTGTGTGTGCCTTAGGGGAGCGGTAGTGTAGCGGTTAGCGCGCTGCGCTATGAACCTGGCGACCCGGGTTCGATTCCCGCTCACGGCTAACACCAGTGACGATTATCTGAACCGGTCCTGGGCCTCCCCTAGGTCGACTCAGCCTTAAATGAGTACCTGGTGCGGTGTGTAAACATCGCCACTGGGGAGACAAAGGCGGTCGGGCGTGGTGCTGGCCACCAAACCACCTCGTGTACCGTTCTGGCCTTCATAGGTGCTCGCTAACAGCACTTGCCCCTATAGTCTGTTAAGGCTATATGAGGGATCTTTGTCTTTTGCCTTAGGGAGAGTGGTAGTGTAGTGGTTAGCGCAATGTGCTATGGACCAGCGACCTGCATTCGATTGCCCTCCACAGGTAACATCAGTGACAAATATGTGAATTGATCTTGCGACTCCCCTAGGTTGACTCGGCCTTAAATTAGTATCTGGCATGGTGCTGGCCACGAAAATTGCTAGTGTGCCATGCTGGTCTTCGGTGCTTTCTTGCGGCACTTGTCACAAAAGTCTTTACGGCCATATGGGAGATCGTTGTCTTTTAGTTTAGGGGATGTAGGGACATCTGTGCACTCTTATGTTAGTTATAATGTACGATTTTTTTCTGAACAATGTAGAAAGAAATGTACCCTATATTATCGTTTGTATCCCTGGCCTCTCTTGCAAAATACCTTTTTTGTCTCGGTTGCCTCACCTGATTGAATAAATATGCATGATGACAGAAGTGTTTTTTTGTAATGCCACTAACGGACGTGACGATGATCGCAACAATTACGTTCTTTTAAACGTGCCTTGGTGGTAATGATGACAGTTATTTCCCAGCCTTTTAATACTAATAATAATGCCAATGCTGGTAATGTCTTGATGGTAGCACTGATAATACAGATGGTAATAACATCGATGATGATTGTGCTCACAGTGGCATCGAGAGGCCAAGTCCCACTGCCCAAGTGCCCACCTGCTGCTTGTCGGGTGCAAATCGGACCTCCGTCTCACGAAATCCCAGAGAATGGTGTCTCACCACCAGGTGAGTCCCCTGTCCTGCCGTTCTGCGTGGCGAATGACGCCACAAGCAGCGTCGCTACATTCGAACATTCCAGCGGATGTTGCATCATGCTGATGGGTGCGTCATTATGTCCTCGACCTCACAGTCAAAGGCAACCAATTTGGTTACGAATTAATTTCGTGAGCGAATACAATGACACAGGCATTATCGTGGTTTCTCCCTGTCTTTCAGTTGGCTTCACGAGCTAGCTAAATTACAGCAGTGCTACTAACAGCAAGTCTGTTCCAAACACGAGAGTTATTATGGCACATTGTACAGTAAGTCAAAGTGCAAACGTGAAAAGTGTTTATCAACACGGAGTAATAAAATGATGGCAATAAAAACACTCGTACACGTTCATAATACGCGCGGTATATAGTCCTTTAACGTGGCGTATGGTTGAGTACGGGAGCATGTGGCATTGAATAAGAAAAATTGTTTCCCTGTCTGCCTACTCCCGCATGGAACTTGGACTCCGTATTGTGGGTTTGTGTTTTGTACATGCATTAGTAATACAGAAGTGAGAATACTGGGTCTGGAGAGGGGGTCTGAAGGGGGTCTGGAACATAAGCCCTTTCTTTTCATATGTAAATCTGGGTTTACTCTGCACGGATATGCTCTGCATGGCCTTTTTTCAGAAAGCTTCCCCCCATGCAGAGCGAGGGACACGTGTACAGGACACGATCAGTGTATGGTAGAGGAGCTGGCTTCCAGTAATGATATCTGAAGTTCAAATGCCAGTCATTTGTTCAAGCATGTCATCGTTTTGAGTTCTGCAAAATTATGAGACCAACTGTCGATTTCTAAGGGTTAGGGATACTGTAAATTGTGCCACCAGAGGAACATAGCATTTTAACCACTGGCTCAGAACTGCCAACAGATGTGTAACACTCATTCAATCATTAGGACTACTCACCAATATTGCTGTGCATTGTCTTTGAGTTGTGCGCCTTTTGGCGTCATCTGGTCCAACCCATGTGAGACTAGGCTCTAAGGAAAGCTGTCTTGGGTGTGGACCAATCAACTTCAAGGACAGTGCACATTATCAGAGTTATGTTCTTTTGTTTGTATTATGACTGCAGGTATTGCGGTCTATGCAAACATGACTCCTTGTAAAAAGGTGTCAGTTTTGTTGCCAGATAGAAGGGTAAAAAACCAATTATCATTGCCATGCATGTTTTACAGGCATCGGAGTCAGCCACGCAGCTGGGGGCTGTGTGTTACGTGGAGTGCTCGGCAACAGACAATGACACGAACTCTGTACGTGATGCTCTGCTGAGCCCGACCACTGCCCAGAAGACGCGCCGGCAGCACCAGCAGGGAACTCCCACTGACACTGGCTGCAGCAGCAGTGCAGATGCAGCGGGCTCGAGTATGGCCGAAGGGACACGCGAGCCATCGACGTTCAAGCGCACTGCCTCAAAACGACTGCTGCGTCGGCTGTCCCTGCTCAGGGAACGGCAGCCGCCCCGAGCTGCGCCCCAAGAAGCCCCAGCACCTGAGGTTGAGAGAGACAAGAAGAATTGTGCCATTATGTGAACACTGTGCCCCTCTTTAATGCGTCCCTATTATACTTGTATGTCAGGCTATGTAATCTACCGTTGTGTACATTTGTGGAATGTACAGTGATGAAAACATTCCACAATAGCGATAAGTTATGGAATCTGGAGTAGTACGAGTATCAACTACAATTGTGTTCCCTGTGCTTTATTGGTGAGACTTGTCAGTACTGCCCTGGCTGACCCAGGTGTCCCTGGGACTCGGCGTTGGTGCTGGTTGTCTCATCTTGACCACCACCGCCCCAAATCGCCCTCCATACTCGAGTACTTTTTCTCATTTTTGTAAAGTTAATTGAGATGTGGTTGAATTTAGATGCATTATAAATCGTTGTTTTTTTTATAACTCTTGTTACATCTTCATTTGTGTCTGTGGTTGCAAGTTTATTCATATGTGATGCAAACTTTATTTCGTGAAAACCTACGAGTTAAACTTCCTTTCTATACCTGAATAAGTACAGCCTAGGTACATATTTACAGTAATAGAATACAGTATTTTTTAGCACAAACTTTTTGCACTACACTTTTTATATCAAGAAATAAAATAAAATATTTATATAAAGTTATATAAGGCAATCATTTTCTTGGTTCTTTCGGTAAAGTCACGTAGAATGGAACGCTGTCTCCCCGACAGACCTGGTCTTCACCTGAGGACGGCTGCTTGCGTTGTGGCCGAAACGTCGTGAGAATTATTTTATAATGTTTTATTTTATTATTTTATTATTTCCATTCTACGTGACTTTATCGAAAGAACCAAGAAGATGAATCCCTGCAGTCACGAAAGCTTTAAATCGAAATTTAAGGCAATCATTGTTAAAATTATTAACGTGTACAAGTACATGTTGAAAATCCACAAACTGCTGTATTTAATGTACCTTGAATATAACATTTAATATATATAGAATTGATACTTGACAGCAAGGCATGACATTAGACATTATGGATAAGTGTGGAAATAGTCATATTCATACATTTCTGATTACTTTCGAAACGGTGCTTTGTCAGGATTCTAAAAGTAATCGGTTACAATTGTAATGCCGTGCTTTTGATGAGGTAGCAATCCAATGTCACGAAATAACTATGTCATGAGTCATTATATATTTTAAAACGACAGACCAGAAATAAACAAGGTTATGCAAATCGTACATCCTTAAAAACAAATGCTGTCGTTGTAACATGTTATTTTCAAAAAGTATCAACTGCTTATTTATTTGCTTTTCCATAGTAAAATAAAACTTTAACTGTTCTATTTTAATGTTTTCATCCCAGTTATCTGCTTCAACTATAGTTTTCATACCATTTAAAGTCAAAATTATAAAAAGGCATCCTGTACTCAATGTTTGGTTTACCTTCTTAACAGTCCTGCTCCATATTGATGTTAACTAGCATGGTTGTGCGATGAAAATTGCTGAATTTTAATATTGGTTGCTGTGGCATCACTATTACACAAATACAGACTTATTTTAGCCAAACATAAAAATATGGCACGGTTTACTTTATTGCAAATGGTAGGTCTATCGATTAATTTGTCACTTGCACGCGGGCTCACTTTAATGCCTGTGCATTAATTTTACAAAATTGGACGATTTAACTGGATGCACATTTATATTTTATTGGAGAACACATTACGGCTTCTCGTTGTTGAGGTTGTACATTGAGACGAATGTTGTATCAATGCAACCGTGAGCAGAATTTACATTAACTTTGACAATTTGTAAATGTAAACTCGCCACACTTTAGATGCTATGAAATTGAGCTGCACATGTTTGACCCACTCACCTCTGTGGGTATTTAATTGCTGACAAAATGCAATGCTTGTACCATGTTTTTGTTAAACGTGTCGTGAGCATGATAGCTTATTCTGGCGAAGCTCGCTTTTTTAGGTATGGTAGTTCAAAATTGCCCAATCACTGGCAAAAAAATACTGTACAATATTGCATAAAAGCAATTGAGTACTACCATGGGCATTTTTTTATGAATCAGGAGACTCCCATACTGTACAGTATTTCCAAGGTACTTTGGTTACCTATACTGTCTGTATTGTAGCAACCAAGTTTACTCCACTATGTAACTATGCAAGGGTTGTGCAGGCTTTTAATGCTAGATCTAATTTATCTAAGACTTTGCCAGTGTCGTACATTTGCCATGAGCCGAGTACAAAATTCTCACATTTTTCCGGGGGCTAAGAATGAGTCCTTTATGAAATAGAAATGTTACTCTTCACCGTGCTGGTCTCACGCTGTCACCAATCAGTTGCAGACCCCAGTCAGGGAGTAGTGGTCCTCAGACAAACTGTCAGACCGAGATTATGATGTTCTGATTACAGTCTAAACCGTGTACGTTTTGATCAGCGCAGGCCTGCCCCCTGGGTCATGCTGCCACCAGGAAACATTAATACAAGATCAGTGCTGCCAAATGGCTTTTGCTGAAAAAAATGTCGAAACCTTTAGCCAAAAGAGTCCAAAAGGGCACGTTTTTACCAAAGTTGGAGCCAAAATAAATAAGATTTCAAATTCGTGCATGGCTGTGTATTATACACTTTAGATTTATAAAATAACTCAACATTTGCAAAAATGTAGCCTTGTATTAGATTTTAAATATATTTTAGTATTTATCCATTATCATTTGAGACATTTACAGACGACAGTACCTAGAAACTGAAACAGTGTCTAAAAGTGCCTCCATTTTGGTATGTCAACATTTACACGAGTATAAGGACACATGACCACTAAGTGACCGTTTCTTTAACTTCATTTTAAGGTGTGTTTCAAGATGTTAAAAGAGTATTTACCGTCAATATATTACTTTAAAACCAGCTATTTGGCAAACAAATGAAGTTGTTTTCTCAGTGCGTGGCAGAGGCTTTCGAGTACTGTACAGATTTCCCTCACTTTATGCGAGTTCGGTTTCTGTGATCTCGCGTAAATGCAACTAACCTATTTTACCCAAAATTCGCGACCTGTGGTTTGAATTCGTGATGAAAATAGAACTGCAATACGCTTCTGCAGCGGGATACTCCTGCCGGAGGTGAGAAATATGGTAAAAGTGTCGGACAGGGACCCAAACACAAGCTTATCTCAGTTCCTGCCCCAACTTCAACCCACACTAGGCAGTGTGGGGAGGTATGATCAAATAACCCCCACGACTTACATGGTGGGGAGGTCCCATCCAGTAAAAGATGGTCATAAATAAGTATAGCCAGTAAAAAACAAAGTTTTTCACTATAAATCCTTTACGGGTTTACTTGTTATACAGTTTTTTTTTTAATCCTTTATATTAAGTTCGCTTGCTTGCTTGCGTGCTTGTTTGCTTGCTTTCGACCGTGCAAATCTTTCGGTCGTTTTTTAACCCACTTCCCGTGATCCAATCGAGCTGACATTTTGCACACAGACTCGTTGTGCGAGACAATTAATGTTCGTGAAATTTTTTTCCAAAATTTTACACTGTTTAGGGAAAACAAATTAAATATTTAATTACCAATTGCTTAATACTGGCAGACAATCATCTGACCCATAGGTGGCAGCCATCTCAAGCCAGAGGACGAGAGGACTCTAGCCGCCACGCATATAAAGGATTTATAGTGAAAAACTTTGTTTTTACGGGTTATACTTATTAAAACTCAAAGTAGGGAAATTTGTGAGCAAAAATCTCTGAAATCGTTGTTGCTTTATGCATATACAGTATTGTATGGCAGGCTGTCAACTTTACTCGCAGTAGGACACAGCCATTAGCAAGGACAGCACAAGAGTTTATTTTATCACATGTAAAGAATGATCATCTGTCAACCACAACCCGAAATCACTATTATGTGTGTTTTGACAGAAGTAGGCATGGATTTTATATGCTCCATTTATGGTTTGGTATTGATGGAATGTATAATGCAGTGTAGTGACACAGACTACAGGTTACTGGGCCTTTATTAGTCATTTCTCCTGCACGGCATCCATGCGACAGCCTCTGCTCCCTCAATGATTGACAACTGCTGATGTAATTATACATGTTAGTGTCATGGAATTATCTGCTCGGATTAACAAGTGTAGTGTATTTCACGGAGAGACACACTAGAACTTGGAGGCAACACGTCTATTATAACACCCCAACAGGGTAACTGCATACACGTACACTTGGTTAACTATACCACAACGGGGTAACTACATAACCGGGTCAGTCAGTAACATACTGCCTGAACCACGAAGCCAAGTGTAAAGACTGAAGACCGAGGATCGAAGAGATGTAGCACCGACAGGTTCCATTCCAACAGCCGCGATCGCTCTCGGGACTTCCCTTTTATACTCCCGAGCGTGGCCTCGCTCCGTTTTCGGCCACGCCCCTTCTGGATCTTACCAGAAGGTTCTCGACCAAGCATCACGTGTCCCTCGAGCCCCCTTTTGGGCCTCCTCGGGTTCACCCAGACTGTCACGTCCTTACTTGCCTCTCTCAGACCATCACCAGAACTATGGCTCCTAGGACCAACTTGCATGCCATACCTACTCTGATGCCAGATAGAGGCTCAAGATGTACAGTTCCACTCTTGTGACAGTAGCTGGCGCTAAACACCATAGTGACTCCATTTAGGTCACTACACAAGTATTGAGTACGTGCATAAGATAATGGCCCATTCACTAACAGTGTGCATGTGCATTTTTTTCTTAAGCCGTTGCTGGATGAAGGACAGTCTCCATGCTCTGCAGCCTGCTACGTGGTTTAAGTGACCATACATTACCACGCTGGAAAAGTGCGGGTTAGAGAAGTCGCAGATACGGTACATGTGTAGTGACATAATGGGTCACTATGGCGCATAGCGCCAGTTACTGATAGAGAGGGGAACTGGGAGTGTAGTTGCCCTCTCTGCCAGCAGGGTACGCTATGTCATGGAAAGGGTCCCTAGGGGAGCATGGTTGTGGTGGCTTGCAGAGAGGGGGCATCCGAGGACGTAGCAGCCCGGTTGGCTGGCAAGGGCACATGACATGACAGGGTAAGGATGTGGGCCAAAGGTGACAAGGGACACGTGGTGTGGGGCCCAGGACCTTCTGGTGAGTTCCAGAAGGGGGCGGGGTCGAGGGTGGAGCCAGGCCACACTGGGGGGCATAAAAGGGAGGTCCCGGGGCCGCATCGGGGCTGTCTGCTAGAAATCCGCCGTGTTACGTCTTCTCCTCAGTCTCCGGTTTTCGTGCTCGGCATCGTGGGTCAGGCAGTATGCCGAATGACGTGACCCATTTATATAGCTACCCTGTGGTGGTTACCGGTTATGTAGTTATCACATTGTGGTAGTAGAATACACGTGTTTCCTCCTGAATTAGTGTTTTTCTCAAGTGAATCCACTACACATGGGTTCAGACAAATAGAGTGCAATGGATTTTGCTGCACTGCCCTCTGCTGATCACTACAAAGCACAGCACTGCCTGTGCAGTGCTGTGCATCCAAGCAATATCCAGGATTCTTCTCCTCGTGTCCTGCCACCACAGTCCAGTATGTTAATCCAGTATTGGACTCATGGTGATATGGCCTGGTCTATAGCCCTGGCGAGGTCCTCCACGTTACACACGCCAATATATGCCCCATGGTTTGTG